ATAAGTATGTATTTTTTACATGTTGATGTGTTAGCAATTATATGTCTGTATTTAGTGAATTGCGGTTATTGGAAAATATGTTATGATATTATTTAGTTTAATTATGATATGATAGATGTTAGTTAGTTAGTTATGAATTTAGATGAATTTGGGCGAGACATCTCGGACTGGTTATGCGCAAACAAGAAGGTGGATAGAGTCGTTGCTGATGATTGGTTGAGGATCCTGAAAATGCAGCTGATGCCAAGAACAGGGGCTGTTGATCAGCAGCTGCAGTGAGGCTTTCTTTGAGCTGCTGCGTTGCTGTGTTTGCTGTAGCGCTCTGTTTGTTTTCTTCTCCTTGTTATGCTGTGATGAAGGTTTGTTTTTTCCCCTGTGTTGCAGCTAGCAGCGGGACCTTCTGCTTTGGTCTTGGTCTTTTCTCTGTTTTTCTTTGTTGTAACCTCCTGTGTTTGCTTTTCGGAGGAACTTTTCTCTAGCTTTTAATTAATAATATATTTCACCATTATCAAAAAAAGAGAATTTAGATGAATTTGTTTAGTTTTCTCATAATAGATCAATTAGTTGCATTTTATTATCGCTTTGGAAGATATTGTTTTTGTATCCATAATGTACTAATTATATACTATACTTAATTATTATAAATTGCAGACATGGGTAAATTTAAGAAGTTTCGGCTTATTATTTATTGGAATGGTCGGGTGACAAACTCGAACATTGGGATCGACTATGAAGATGGCGAATCCAGTATGCTTACAATTGAGTCGAGATTCTCGTGGCAAGAACTCCATGACAGGTGTGCAGAAAGGACTTGTACGGGCGGGCAAATGAGAGTTCGTCAAATTACTTACCGGTATCCCAACATGAGTGCTGCCGGAGTCATGTACGAAAAAGTTGACATAAATGATGATGACGACGCGAACATGATGACACAGTTCATATCTGAGAACGGGGTGCGGCTTGCAGAGGTGTATGTCGAGACCGAGTCGGTCGGTGAAACTCATTCTCACCAGTATTCTTATGATGATGGTTTTGCAGGAGGGTATGGCTGGGGTGGTAGTTCAAGTAACTACGGAGCAGGTTCTTCTGCCGAAGGGTATGGTTGGGGAGGTACTTCAAGCAACTACGGAGGAGGTAGTTCTGAAGGAGGTGTTGGGTGGGAAGAATACCTGCCACATGGTGGTGAGACTGCCGTTGATATCGTTCAGCCCGACGGTGATCAATGGCCTGCTTGGGGTCCAGAGTGGGGTGACATTGAAAACACCCTTCGATCTGGGCGTACTTCGCATGACCAAGAAGGTGATGCTGGTTATGCTGGTAACGATGACCATCCTTCGCCGAGCTATCCATTCGCCTCCAGTGACGATGAAAGTGAGGAAGATTTGAGATCAGTCAGTGAGGAGGAAGATACGGACGATAACGACGATATCGATGACAGTGAGGTGGCGTTCCGACAGGCACCAACGCCTTACTACACAGAGGTTCCTGATCAATTTTTATATGGTCAGAACGATGCCCCTGACTTTCGGCCCATGCCTGTGTATAATCCGACTGCTAATTTGGAAATGGGTATGGCGTTCACTTCGAAAGCCGATGTGCAAGACGCTTTTAGCGAAGAAGCCATGCGGCGTAATTTCGAATGGAAGGTAAAATATTCTGACAAGGGACAACTGCATGTCATTTGTAAGAATGCTGGAGAGGGTTGTATGTGGCAACTTCGTGCTGCATATATGAAGAGAAAGGGGGTCTGGGTCATGCGGACAGTAGAGAACAACCACAGTTGCTCCTCAACCATACTTTCACAGGATCACCGGCAACTGAAAGCAAAAAAAGTGGCAAGAACCATTAAGCACCTTATCGAGGCACAAGCAGATATCAAGATAAAAGCTATCATGGCGGAGGTGAAGGATCGACACTCCTACACCATAAGGTATAAGAAGGCGTGGCATGGGAAGCAGAAGGCCATGGCTGATGTCTACGGTGATTGGGATGACTCGTATGCTTTACTCCCCAGACTAATGTCCGCAATGGAGGAGTCCAACCCTGGGACGGTTTTCGTGCCTTGGTACAACAACGTAGAAACTGAAGATCAAGTTCGAGTACAGAACGAGTTGATGTTTCATCGTCTGTTCTGGACATTCAAGCTATGCATTGACGGGTTTCCCTTCTGCATGCCAGTGATTCAGGTATATTACGGACTCAAAATATTGTACTATTTCATTACTTTACTAATTTCAATTTTTACTAACTCATTATTCATTTTAACAGGTTGATGGAACTTTCCTTACTGGGAAGTATAAAGGAACTCTTCTTATTGCCACTGGGGTTGATGGAAATTTAAGTATTTTTCCCTTAGCATTTGCATTAGTTGAAGGGGAGAACAACCTAAGTTGGGCATGGTTCTTTGACCAGCTACACGCCCACGTCACACAAAGAATGGGTATTACAATTATATCGGATCGACATGCCGGGATTAAACACGCCGTCCGTGGTTTCCCGGACGAATGGGGATGGACATGGCGTTGGTGTATTCGTCACTTCCTAGCCAATTTCCAACACAAATTTGGAAAGAAGAAAGACATAAGAGATCAATTGTGGAGTGCAGGTAATAATGTAATTCAGTGCTTGTTCATGGTTTATTGTTCAAATTAAATTTCTTATGGATTAATTATTAATTCTCCGGTCTTGTAGCGGTTGCACATCAACCAGTCACCGAGGAGCATATTTAACCACATGCCTTGTATCCACCGATTTGACTTGTCGGGGAACAGAAACCCACCAACCAAGGCAATTAGGTAGACACGTGCATACCGCTCCACCTGATCTTCAGGAGTATCCGGGCCTATATTAACCTCCATCTGGATGTGGTCAACAAGCCACGGGATCGATACTTGCCCCGCATTCAGTGGTGGATGCCCCTGACCTTCGACGGGCGTGGTGGTCGGCATGTTGAACCCCAGACGTTCCTGAATCAATGGCCCCCAACCATCTTCTGGTTTTCTCGAGTTGTCGATGATGGCATCTCCGGTGATCGGGAGCCCGGTGAGGATGGCAACATCTTTGAGGGTGATCGTCATTTCACCCTCGGGAAAGTGGAAGGTATGCAGCTCAGGGCGCCATCGCTCTGCCATTGCCGTCAGCAGATCGTTGTCAATATCAAGCCTCATAAAGTGCCTCAAATTGTGCAATCCCGCCCTCTCTAGATAGGGATGCAGTCGAGGATGCCAACGGGGCAATCGACATGTCCCTCGATGACTGATGGGAATAAGTGATTCCTACAAAACAAAAAACACAATATTGTCAGTCAATAGAAAGCAAAATAAAAACTTAGAAAGCAAAATAAAAACTTTAAAACTATTGAAATAATTTTAGTGTGTCTACCGGATTATTGTTCCAAATTGAACGAGAGCGATGTTGATCTTGCCCGGTTAAATACCTTCGATCCCTTGGGCCAGGATCGATATACAATCTAGGGTCGTATATCTCAGCACCCATCTATAAAAAATATGAAATCAAATCAATTTAAATTTTAGCACCCATGTAAAAAAAAATCACAAAAGAACCAACCAAATTTACGTACTCTCAAAGCCTCTTCGTCCATTTTTTGCCGAAAAGCTAGCGAGAGTATCGACAAAACAACAAAACAAAAACTCTAGTAATTCTTTCTGATGCGGAAGATCGGACTTAGCTGCAACCACAGAGCATACTTAGAACGAAACTAGAGTGAAAAATGGAGGGAGAAAGAAGTATAAAGTGGTGGTGTGGTTTGGAATGAGGGGGGGATGGGTATTTATAGTGTTTGGGGCTGGGATAAGTCCTGGCCAGTAATCACCGCCCCAAACAAACACAGTGCAATCACTGCGTTCATCAAAGGCGGTGATGGGCACGGATAGGTGACGTGGCGGCTTCTGATGCGTCGGATTGTGGAGAAAAACCACAATCCGCGCATAACTGCATCGGACGGCAGCGGTGAAGGCGCGGGGTGGGGCGGATCGCTGACGTGGAAAGCGGGGCTATCACCGCTTTGGTCTTCAGCGGTGAAGTGCCCGCACGCTTCCACGTCAGCGATCCGCGCCACTTCACCGCTGTTGGATCCAACGGTGAAGGCTTCACTGTGACCCTCATCAACGGTCATGCCATCACTGTTGTCCTTCACAGCGGTGATGGCATCACTGCTTTGGTTTAAAGCGGTGATAGCATCACTGCTTTTGTCTAAAGCGGTGATGTATCATCGTTTTAGACCAAAACGGTGATCAACATCACTGTCTTTGTCAAAGACAGTGATGTTGAAACTGCTGTACTTTGGGAATTACTTTTATAAGTACTGTATTTTGGTAATTTTTTTTAATAATTGGTGTATTCTGGGATTTTTTCCTGCAAGCCGGGCAGACTACTGATATGGACCCAAAATTCAGGCACCCTTTGGTTCTAATGATCAGTTGAGAATGCCCAATCTTTGCTTTCCATTCCATCTTTCCTACTTCCACAGGATTGGCCCAATCCTAGAAAGTTTCTACCTGGAGAACTGTTTGATGCCTGCTAGGCTGCATATCTATAGGCACAGTTCATTTTTGCTGGTTTATTATCAAGAGGCAAATGAGGAAAGAATATTTGCCACAACCTGAAACTGACCCATCTCTTGCTTGCCTATTTCTAGCAGGATCCCATCCTGTCCTGTCAAAACTTTCTGAGAACCTGAAACAGGGTTCTGTACAGTTCCCTTCCTGAATTCCAGGGTTTCACAAATACTCCTGGAAAGGTTTTGAACCAAAATGATAGACTCAGCACAGTGGCACTACCAAAGTCATACAGATTCAAGACCTTGAAGATTGCTTCAAACACAAGAATCTCAAGCAGTTGAAATTTGTATTGTATTGGGGTTGCATGTGAATCATGCAAAGATCTTGGGACCCAGGGCCATGTCTACCAACCTCACAAAACATGCACCTAAAATCACAACTCTTTATTTTGGAGAAGAGAACATGGGGGAAACCGGAAACATATAGGTCACCTACTGCAACAATATACATATCTTGGAGGAGATTCCTTTCTTCTGATTGTGGAGCAAAGCATTCCTCAAACTGAAAAGGACAAGAAACAAATGCATCAAGACAGGAGATATGAGTCCATACTTCTGGCACTAGTACAGGAGTTTTTTTTCGTCTTTGCTTGAGTGTATTTGAAGTTACAATGCTTTCATGTCTGAAAATGCCACTTACTAACTTTCCCTGCTATAGAAAATTGAAATTCAGTTCTTTGTAGTGGAAAGGAAACCAAGCAGATCATTCATTCCTGAGAACAACTCATTCATTCCTCATCAAATAAAAGAATATTAAACGAATCATCATGTGATGTAACACTAGGCAGAACTAAGGTAACCAAAATACAGATTGATATGCTAAACAATCTGGAAATTATCGTAAATGTGAATCATAGACATGATCGGCAGGTTACATAAGAGTAACAATTTGACCTAAGTGTAAAGCTTACAAAAAAAAATGCATTCTAATCCATCAGCTGTAATATTATTATTGATGTACACATAGTAGTACGGCCATTTGTATTTGCAAGATATGCAAAACACAATGGTAAGAATTGTACTGAGAATTTCTTGATCAGTAATTCGATGAAATATGTTCCATCTATGTTAAATTGTCAGGTACATATATTCATCAAATCAATTTTGTTATGATGGTGGTCAATTAAATTAGGGTCTGTCTTGAAAGAATTGAATATCAATAACTCATTTTTTACCTATGATTCTATTTACTAGTTTATTCCCGAATTTAGACTAGACCCCCTAGGTAACTCCAATTTATCGTTTATGAATGAACTACTAGGAGAGGTCTAGTCTAAATTCGAATTCTATTCGAATCTATTTACTTTCCATATATTTGATCATATTTCATTGTTTATCTTTAATAGAAAATGGAGTGCACGATGTAAATTATAGAGTTTACTAGATCAATATTTTATCCGCTTATAATATCTACAAGGCATGACTGATCAAAACATCCAATCAGCAAGTGCGGGTTAAATCATAGAGAAACCTCTGATTCTACTCAGTTTGTTGCTTTCCCTGGTAATTGAAAGATTCATAACTTTTGAGATTCTACATAGAATTGAACTATTCGGTAACCAAACTCATTTAAAAGTTGACTGCCATGAGAACAAGGAAGTAGAAACACAGGAAGAAAACTGGTCATAAGTATAGATTAGAATCTCCAGTTGAAACCATTGTTAAGAGTACAAAAGCAGAAATAAGTGGGTAATATTATGTGGCAAGATTGATCTTCAGGGAATCTGTTTGAAGAACAATGGCCATAGGTCTAGAAGCCATACGTGTAGTTAAAAGCAGAGGTAATGTTATATGTTAGTGATAGTGTCCAATCTGATGTCTTCAAGAACAGCAGATCTCAAAGATGTATGCTATATGGTTGAGAACACATTGTTTATTCCAGAAACTAAAATATTCCTAGGCAGCATATGTATGAGTAAATACTTAAGGGTACCTTATCTTAGGTGCGCCACTTCAAGCAGCAACTTCAGCCACATTTTTCATGTTCTTTAGGTCGAAGATTTCGATCCAGTAGCCATCAGGGTCCTTGATAAATGCTAGCCCTTTCATTTTTCCTGGATTTGAAGAGACATAATTACATAATACAAAGCTGCAGGTATCTTCTCTAATACCATAATGAAGGGAAAACAATAAAAACTAATGTGCATTCAGTTTCAAACCAAAGTGTCAGACATCATCAATCGTATAACTTAAGGTTCTACAGCATTCAATAAAAGACAAACACAAACACAAAGAAAGAAAAGAACAAACCATGCAAATCTCAGGGAAGTCTTATCCTGTCAAAAGGGATCCTTACCGTCGTCTGGCTTTTTAACAAATTCAACCCCGAGGCGCTCAAACCTCTCACATGCCTTGTAAGTATCATCAACAGTAATACCAATATGTCCTGACAAGAATAACATTGATATTGTTAGTTTTTTGAAACAGCTATGCATTGCAAATGATTGATTTTACTAACAAAACGTGGGCTCAGATTGCTAACATTACCAAAACCTCAAGAATGTCAAACATATCAAGATGAATCTACGACCTCACCTATACACATTTCTATACACATAACGCATCTAGCACCTACACAAATTACCCTTAGTTCATCCAATTTATGCTGATCCTAGTATCCGTCGACCTAATGGGCAATTGAAAACTCAACCTCCGGAAGTTAGACATAGTTCTGACAAAACTCAATTCTAGTCTAATCAGAACGACTTAACCAAAGACCTTCACTTCACCTTACTAGATGCCTTCTACACGACCTATACATGCTAGGTTTATAAAGTCAGAAAATATTCAAATGTCCATCGACACTTGCTCCTCAAAAACTATTCTCAAAACTACAAACATCTCTAGGATGCTAGGGATATGAAGTCAGAAATTTTTCAAATGTCATTAGACACTTGCTCCTCAAAAACTATTCTCAAACTACAAACATCTCTAGGATCTAGGAAGCTATACACACAAACTCCATCATCTATATAACAAGCCACTTTCAGAAAGTCATTCTTCGGATCCATGCATCAGCCAAAACAATAAGAGAAAATGTGTATCCTTAATAGTAGTGTCTGATTCACAGATTATGCCGTTATCATATTATAGTATGGTATTGGAACTAGAGGTAAAGTAACCAAAGTGAACTCATTTACATACCAAACCCACGGGGATCAGAATTGCCATTGTGATATCCTTTGAACTCGGGATCACTTTCAGTTCCCCAATTACTGTCATAAAAGCAATCGCTTGTCAGAGTTGATTCAGATATGTGACCCAGAAGATACACAATCGGGAAGTTTACAGGGAAAGCAGAGGAGGCCATGCATATGAGATAACTCTTACTGTGTTAGTTCAATAGTAGCCTTCTGAGAAAAAGCCCACACTGTTCTTTCTACATTATCACTTGGAGCAGATGCAGGATCCTAACAGAAAAGCCAAGTCCATGGCGAACACTTAGATGAAATCCAACAAAATAGTGGACCATAAAAATGTCCCAGAACTAAGGAAACTGGTTCACTTTAAACATAAGCTTCCTAGTTACCTCATAGCCCATGAAGTACAAGCTAAACTTCATATCAGGAAAATCCAGCCTCTTCAGCAAACTGAAAATGCGGTGCCGAGAAAGTCAGCAAGTTTCCCCATCTAAAGAACCTAATAGCTATACACATCGTGGTCCACCAAAACCAAATCCCCAAGGATGCCAAAGGAATAAACAAGAAGGTTGGAGTCTCAATGCATGAAATGAAGTTTCCAAGTTTCCATCTTTAAGCATGGGAAACTATGCAACACCCATCGAAAGCCTAAAGCTAAATGATTCAAGTTCAACGATCAACACACCAACAACCAAACAAGAATGGTACTTACGTCATCCCCAGGACTCGAGAGTAGAAATCGAGACTGACTTTCGGGTCTTTAATTCGAAACATCTACAAAAACCATCACCAATCGTCACCCAATATTCTCCATAATCAAAGTTGGGAAAAAAAAACCCTACAGGAGGAATTTGAATCAGAAGAGGGCAGATTGCCGGGGTTTACAGTTTGCTGCATGAAGTACCCTTTGGTGGCTTCATCAGGGGTAGTATGCAGACCAGGATTGCTAGCAGGGGAATCCTTCGATTCAGAGGCCGCCATTGAAGAAAACGATCTCAATCGGATCGGATTCTGCAACAACAACAAAAATTCGATCAAGCACACAGACAGCAGCAGAAGTTAGTCAATAGCTTAGTGGAAAATTAAATGATTACTGCCATTTGAGTGGATAAGTAGTTAGTACCTGGCCTTTGTGAAGGAGAAAAGAAGGGTACGATGTAAATAACGAAGATACAGAAGGGCGTGCGCAGCAACGAGAGAGTGAAAGCCGAGATAATGCGGTGGTGAAGGACGAAGCAGCCGCCATTGATGACAGACGATGATTTACATATAGTAACTGTGATTCGCGATGCGGACTGTGATACCGGGATAACAGTCTCGTCTGTTCAAATGGGCTTTAAGCCTTTAGCTGCGGCCTTCATTGTTTGGTTCGGCCCGCTCAGACTAAGCCTGCTTCCGTGTTGAACTGTTATATGTGATCATCAAAGTTGATGCAGTCGAGGAGGAAGGATCTTGTGATCAAGATGGAATCAAGGCAGAATATTGGACCCACGACAAGGAAACAGATACTAGCTAGCTAGAATCTTGGAGTCACCCACACATCCAGCAACAGCAATGGATTTTAGTAAACTTTGACAAAACTACTAGCTAAAACAGAGGAAACTGGGAGGCAAATACAACAACGGCGGAATCAAACTTATCTGTTTTGTCTCCGACAATTGTAGGAATCTGGACTTTGGAAGCGGCTGGTAGCAAGGATCATGGGCATACTTACAACCAGGAAAAAACAATGGCCAAAGCTAGAATAGTTGAATATTGGGAGCAAATACAATGAGGGAGAGAAGAGGCAATTAGTTCAGTTTGTATCATAGAAGTACAGTAACAAAATTGTGTAGAAAGGATTACAGTATCGTAATATGAGTATTGTATATACCAATTTTATCATCGATATTACATTTTATTAGCTGATACAACCTAATGGTTTTAACTTATTACTGTAGGAAAATAAAGATTGTTAATATGACCCAACTAGTTAAAGTGTGGTTACGATGCATGTGGGGTTTGAAAAAATTTATGAAGAAATCTATTTTTTTGCACTTATAAGGTCGTTCGTAACATATTCTAAATACAATATCGTATTGGTGCTAATTGAGCCTACATAAAGAAATTTCCACACTCTAGGTAGTTAATTTAAAAGTTGGAAAACATGGAAAGTTTGGTGTATACTCTAATGAGAATTAAACAAACACACGGGCAATTAACAATGATAAGAAAGCAAAGATCTTTCAATTAAAACCATGACCCAATAAACAAGATTCCCTTAAAACAAGATCACAATTTCTTAGTGGGTGGTTGGAATCTGAAATTAAGAACATCTCTTCCTTGTTTCCTCCCTTTGTTTGGTATTGAATTTCAAGTCAAACAAACAAAATATGGACATAAAATTTCCTAGTTATGATGTGATTTACAAAGATAATTATTGAGGGTAACTACCATTTTTTATTCTAGTTTAGCGAAAGAAGCAAATGAGAGTTACAAAATTCAGAATCCTTACTCCTCAAATATTACATATTCGATGATGACTTCTATTAACTTAGTCAGACTTAATGATGACTCTATATTTGTTAGAGCAGGGATGTCAACGGGTCGGATTGGGGGGCAAATAGTGACTAACCATTACTCCATAATGATTAGTTCGGGTTTTTGTTCATACTCAGTATCCATGTAAGATTCTGATAGAAAAATAAACCATACTCATATCCGATCATGTTTCAGGTATTCATGGATAATACTTTCCTTTTTATCTTCTCAACTATTTTGTTACTAATCACGAATTACTAACATTATAAGTGAACGACATAAATAAAATATCACCAATACTAATAGAAATAGGAAAGGAACACAATTTAACGAGATGTACAAATATAATAGGAATAACAGAATATCTAAAATGACAAATGGTGATTTATACAAACAAAAAAGTTATATGCATGTAAAATCGAGGCGGATCAAGTTTGATAGCAAAAAAATCATGTCCATCTATTATCCGTAATATTCGGGTTCGAATTTACTAATACCACCAGGCACCAGACACTTTATTTTGATTGATATTTATTCTATTCATTCTAATTGAATTCGGGCGAATAATCAAAATTCTGAATGTTTTTGTCATCCTTAATTAGAGCAATTTAGGTACGTAACCCTCTGCCTAACCTCATAAATATCACATCACCCCTAAATAAAACGAGTTTAGGAAGATTATATATAATTAGGTTATTCACATAATCTTTTCGCTATTTGCTAATTAATTATTTAAATTTTGCATCCTTTTAATTGCTTATTTTGGATCCTCCTGCAAATAAAAATTCAACAATTTTGCAGTTGCTTTACATAAAAAGCCAAAATCGTCCCACTGACTTGACCACTCCTCCCTTCAGCCTTCACCCCATCCTCCTCGACCTCGATAGTATAAATCATAACTACACTATCCCCATTTTTCCAGTCCACCACCGGTCCACCGCCACCGTGACCGTCACCGCCTTCCTCGAAAACATGGAGAAATCCGGCTACGGACGCGACGGCATTTTCAGATCACTCCGGCCGACACTCGTCCTTCCCAAAGACCCAAACCTCTCCTTGGTCGAATTCCTCTTCAGAAGCTTCAATTCACACTCCCACAAGCCGGCCCTCCACGACGCCGATTCCTCCCTCTCCCTCACCTTCTCCGACCTCAAATCGGCCGTTTCCAAGTTCGCCAACGGGCTCCGCCATCTGGGCATCTCCAGAAACGACGTCGTCCTCATCTTCGCCCCCAATTCGTACCAGTTCCCCATATGTTTCCTCGCCGTCGCTTCCTTTGGCGCCATTGCAACTACCGCGAACCCTCTCTACACCACCGCCGAGCTCGGGAAGCAGATCAAGGATTCCAATCCCAAGCTCATCATCACCGTCCCCGAGCTGTGGGAGAAAGTCAAGGGATTTGACTTGCCGGCCGTGTTTCTGGGGCCGCCGGAGCAACTAAGTCTTCCGGCCGGGATCAGAAGCTTCCATCAGGTGGTGGAGCTCGGGGGGTCGGCGGATTTCCCGGCGAACAGGGTGAAGCAGAGCGACACGGCGGCGCTTTTGTATTCGTCGGGGACGACTGGGGTCAGCAAAGGTGTGGTTTTGACTCACCGGAATTTCATCGCGGCGGCGACGATGATCACCATGGATCAGGAAACGGCAGGGGAATCGGACAACGTTTTCCTCTGCTTCTTGCCGATGTTCCATGTGTTTGGACTGGCTGTCATCAGTTACTCGCAGCTGCAGCGAGGGAATTCGGTGGTGGCGATGGGGAAATTCGATTTCGAGATGGTTCTGAAGGCTGTGGAGAGGTACAGGGTCACCCACATGTGGGTTGTCCCGCCGGTGATACTTGCTCTGGCGAAACAGAGCTTGGTGAAGAAGTACGACTTGTCGTCGTTGAAGGAGATTGGCTCCGGAGCAGCTCCTCTAGGGAAAGATCTGATGATGGAATGCTCCAGGAATCTCCCCAACGTTGCAATTCTTCAGGTTAGCTATCTTTCAATCAGTACAATCTTTCTAGCAATCAGAATTTAGAATGTAGTTCTAGATATCTCAATATAGATTGTGGGACTTTTGATGGGATAGGGATATGGAATGACAGAAACTTGTGGGATTGTTTCGGTGGAGAATCGAAGGGTAGGGCCTAAGCATTCTGGTTCAGCTGGTACACTAGTTGCAGGAGTTGAGGGCCAAATTGTTAGTGTGGATACTCAGATGCCTCTTCCACCAACTCAGCTTGGAGAAATTTGGGTTCGAGGGCCGAATATGATGCAAGGTACGCCTCTGATACCATGTCAAAACCCGATGCATCCACAATAAGCATTCATGTGCAGAAACTTGAGTGGCATTGTTGATCCATTGAAAGTGAGGGTTTCTTCTTTTTTCTGACTCAAAGTACTTCAACCCAAATGGCAGGTTATTTCAACAATCCACAGGCTACAAAGCAGACTATAGATAAGCAGGGTTGGGTACATACTGGAGATCTCGGGTACTTCGACGATAATGGACACCTATATGTTGTGGACAGGATCAAAGAACTTATCAAATACAAAGGCTTTCAGGTGAAGCTTGTTTGCAAAAAGGGAAATATGGTTCTGTAATTTGCAGGCCACTCTATCAATTGTTTCAAATGGTTGATTCTTATCATTCTCAACAGGTTGCTCCAGCTGAGCTAGAAGGGCTGCTAGTTTCTCACCCCGAGATACTAGATGCTGTTGTCATCCCGTGAGTATTGGCACTGTAATTTCTAGGGTTTCGCTACGTTATACATACTCTTTGTGTCATCAAAATCCCTTCAAGCTGACATACTGTGGTGTCTCTAACCATGTAGTTTTCCTGATGCTGAAGCCGGTGAAGTCCCCGTTGCCTACGTGGTTCGCTCCATCAACAGCTCGCTGACCGAAGTAGATGTTCAGAAATTCATTGCCGATCAAGTGAGCTAATTACTGACCTTAACTTACCAACCAGATGAAAACATAAGCTGACTTGACACTGAAAGTTCACAGCTTTTCCCTCCTTGCTTACTTGGGTTCTTGGGATTGATGTTGCTGCAGGTTGCATCTTTCAAAAGACTGAGGAGGGTGACCTTCATCAACACTGTCCCTAAATCAGCTTCAGGGAAGATCCTCAGGAGAGAACTCATCGAGAAAGTAAGGTCCAAAATATGAGAGCTAGGCTCAAGCCTCAATGTACCAACTGTGTTCACTGTAAATTCCAGGAGAGGTGAAGTAGCAAATTGAAGTTCAGAACATTTTCACCATTGGTGTAGTTGGTGGGGATACTTTAATAGATGTGGGGAAGGGAAATAAAATAGACTAGCTTATTACCCGGTCCGTTGGCCGGATTACTGTATGTTACTCACTTGTGGAATGGGAGAGAAAGCAAGTGAGAGTGAAGGGATTGGGATTCTACTTGATTAGGACCGACCCACTAATTCAATTCTTCCCGACCCGCCCCAACCTACAGGGTCAGAAAGAGTCAATAAGAAAATACGAACAGGGAGGATTAGTCATATATCTTGACTCTTCAGAAGTGGGTCAAACAGGATCAAGGTTGGGTGAGGGCAATTTTTAGCGCTAAGCAGAGTTCTGGGTTGAATACCTTTACTTAGGCCTAGAAATTGGTGCTGATGCAGACTGCAGTTTTTATTATACCATCATCAATCATCATTGAATTAGTCCTAGGCATCACTCCCCGTTGTCGGTCTGAATTCTAATGATGGCTTCATTCCTTGCACCAGCCATATCAGCGAGTTGCCATCTCGAGCATGATTTGCCTATGTACAAATAATACAATTAGAGTATGAAAACGAATTCAATGAAAAGGAAAAGAAAATTCTATCACATGCCAATAAATACACACATAATAGTTGAAGCTAAGTGAAAGTCATTACTCGCACATCAATTCTCAAAAATTACAGACTAAACATTGGCTAGAATGGCACTGAAACTACCAAGAATCATGGACGAAACAACTTGTCAAATTAAATAATCCTTATACTGAAACTACCTTCTAACTTGAAATAAGACATGATCACAGTTCATAGCTCTCTTCTCACTATGAATTGGTTGCAGCTCGTCCTTATCACTGCCTCTCAAGCTCAATTCAAACAGAATAGCGACCGTTATGTAAGATAACCATATTCTTACTGATCATAATTCCTTTCTTCACTCCATTTTTGTCGGAGAAAAGAGTTATCCCCCTCTCCTGCATTTCCCTTTCCCCCTCTCTTATCCCTCTTCTTCACAAACCGATCCCTAAACCAGCAACAACAATACAAAAATAGCCTTCGCCTCTCCCGTCTCCATCTATTGAACGCGTTGGTGGCAAGACAGGACTGCAGAAGCAAAATTTTCTAAAATCAAACTAAATTTTTTGAAGCAGACTCAACCACGAAAAAAGAGTAAAGCAACAATGCAGTAGAACCCTAAATTTAACTACAATCAAGCACATATCAGCAAGATTTTCGATTTGTCTGAGAGTTAACTACACGGAGAGAACAATTGATGCATAATTGAAATGCTCCAAGCAAGTTGAAGGCAAACCATAACTTTAGAATTTGGTCATTATAATAACCTTCAAGTATTGATGCTTCTAAGAACTATCATGTCCAACCCCCACTTATACAACTACGTAGGCATAGTAATTAGTTGTATAATGAGAAATATTACAAAGAAAACTACATAAACAACCAATGTAAGTAAATATTAAAACTAACAACTGATAAAACTTAAAATCTCTCTATTGGTATAAATGTATCTATTAGTAACTACTATGCAATCGAGTATATATGATTTTTAGGCACTGAATAAGAAAAGTATAGATGGCTCACAAATGAAGACGTAGCAACTGAAGGTAGCACACAAAAACCAAAAATAGAAAAAGAGATAAGAAAAAAGGCGAGAAAAAGTCAAACAAAGAAAAAGCCCACATAGGAATACCTCGCTAGCTTTAGGGACTCTCTGCCACAACAAACAACCTTCTTAAAAATCTAACACCCTGAGACATCAAACAAACCTCCCACGACACTAATGTATGTCATTCCTATTGTCCAATAGGTTTGCCCAATTTAGACTTCTAAATAAATGGACTTTTCACCATTAAACCAAAACTCACAATCATTAACAGTTAATGCAAAGACATACATTTCTGAGGCCAATCACAGCATTTAAGCATAATTTTTAGTTGAAAAGAACAACTAAGTATTTAGCTAAATGATATAGTAGAATGGACACAATCTGCTACCTACTAATGATATAAACGTGTACCGGTACCATCGTTGTATCCTGACTTGCCATTTGCAACGGGCACTTTGAAAGACAGCTGCATTTTAGAGAATAAACACCCATAAGGGCGTTACGAAACCAAGCTTAATCCAAAATCTTCATATTCCACTTCGAAGACTCCATTTTCAAAAATAAGAGAGTTTAACATGTCAAATCACTCATTTGAAAAATCTCAAACAACTATTAATCAATGCGATATAATGGCACGTTCCAAATTATGTACTTGGAGGAATAATCCCAAATAATTATCAATTAATGCCCCAACTACCTAATGTGCAGAATAGCCCTGGAGCTGTGCTGTTGTTTGCGTTGGTCTACCTTCAAACATAACATAGTTGCATCACGAACCAAAGCAATTAAGCAAAAATCTTCATATTCAAAGTAGAATGACTCAATTCAATTTGGCCAACGCTTTATACATATTGTTTACCCCTGGACCTGTTGCACTTGCGCCTTCAGATCTTCGTGAACCCAATACAATTGCGGAGAGGAGGCTGTCAACGGAATAAAAATTGTTAATTAAGTGAATCACCATACAACTAAACAAACGCGCTCTTCTTGATTAGCTATCAAAATAGTGGGGGTCGCTACAATCCATCGGTTGCTCCCTCTGCGCCTAAGTTGTAGATATTAGGTTTCAGTGAGAACTTTGAGTACATGAGGAGATATTTTGTAGTGGAGGAGATGACCCGGCGAGTAGAGTAGGAAGATTTGGAGAGGCTGCGATGGGCAAAGCAGTTAAAATCGAGATTTTACCTAAAATCGAAAACTGGGGTAAAATCAAAATCGTATAATCGAATCGTAAAATCGTAGGATTTTAAGTACCATATAGAACATAGCATATAAGAATATTAATAAGGTAAATTATTAATATCACAAAGACACATAGCATTTAAAATGATAATTCGGAAGATTTTTTTTCCATAAGATAATTCTCAAGATTAATGTTCCAAAATCACTATTTTAATTGTTATTTAATGTGTAACTCAAAATAATTCATGATGAAGGGATATAGTTCATGGGTTTGGCTCTTATTTTCATGTTATGCCTAAGTTGTTTAACTCAAAGTAATATTTCGACATCGTCTACTAAGTATGATTTAAAACTAAAAATAATTGAACTCCAATAAAATAAGTAATGTTAGTGGCTTGGTACAAATATATTCATTAATAAATTAATTAGTTAATAATGATGTTAGTTCTTACATACTTCCAATATTAGGACAGGTGTTTTACCAATAAGTTAAATGGGGTGAAGGGAAAGAGATTAACCGAACCCTAATTTGGTTATTTTTATTATTTTTGAATATTTTTCTAATAGAAAAATTTCTAAGAAGATTCCATTGCCCTTTCCGCTGAAACAGTTATACTTATTTTAAATTGGCTCAAACCACCTATTTTGTTCTCTTACGATCAAAATCCCGATTTCGGTACTATTTTACGATTTTAACGATTTTAGTCCCGATTTTAAACGATTTTAAGGTCCACCGATTTTATAGTAAAATCAAGATCGGAATCCCTAAGTAAAATCCTAAAATCCTACGATTTTACGATCAAAATCCCGAATTTGACTGCATTGACGATGGGTGCACGATTAGTGGGCGAAATAACAGTTTGAGCCCGTTTAAATGAAAACATATTTTTACTTTCGTGCTCAACAGACCGACCGCACTGGCATCTTCTAAATTTACCCCTAAAAAATTGCTCTGTACGCATCAAATTTGAAATGGAATCCCTCTTTTCTCATTTCACATTTCACATTTATATGATGTGTAGATTGTGATGAGTGTAGATGTAGACCTGTCATTGTCCTACAAATTCATTAACACGTCAAAAAGTGGTGAAATGAGCCACCCTATTAAACACAATCTTGTATAATGATCATTGGATGCAATCATGCCAGATTATGAAGAAGTTTAAAATGTAGCGGTTATCCCGACTAAAACATTAAAAGAACCAGTCTCATATAGTTTGCACAAAGATATAATTTCTCCATAGTAATTCTGAAAAATAATATTAATTTAAGAAGTCGATATTGCTTCTACATGTTTAATATTGCAATTCGATATGCAATATTCGAACCAGTGATATTTGGGCTGCAATTTTAGGGTTATTGTATATTTATAAAATAGATAGAAATTTAAATTAAGTATTAAACTACAACTAAAATAATCAAAGTATTAAAACACCAAATAAGTACTTACGGGAGATTCAGTGGCAAACTAATCGTTAAAAAAGTCATATGATTTTCATAATTTAGGTTCGTGTATGTTTGAATTTAAATAGATACAATAAATATACTTAGTGTGACTGGTTATGATCTTTGCTTGCCTTTAAAGAGACCAAGGTTCGAATCCCGGTGCATGCCTTTTTTATGAATAAATAAATAAGAAAATAAGCAATTGTGAAGACCAAAATATCCTTCCTATAATCACTCTCGTTGCAGGAAATTTGAAATGGAGCAACAGTTTTCATCATTCGGCTTTTATTTATTATATCTAGATCTAGATTAATCTGTTGTTTACACGTGATAATAAACAGGAGATGTTGGTTTTGATTCTGTCCATGATCTGTGCCTACCCACCAACTCTTAATAATTTAATTTAGGGTTTGGTAGGTCAATGGGACATTCGACTGTGTCTGTTTTATGTGCAAATCCAGATTTGTATGGAAATTGTTTATTGTTAGGACTAGGGGGTGTTCATTCGGGTTCGGTTTTTCGGGTTTACTCGAAACCGATCCGATTATATACATTTTCGGTTTTCGGGTTCGGATTTGTTTTGGGTTTCGGGTTCGGTTTTGCTTATCGGGTCCGGCTAAAACCTCCAATGAATAGAACTCAGCCTGTATTTTTAGACGTTCGGGTTTTCAGATTTCAGTTTTGGGTTTTCGGGTTTCGATTTGGGTAACCGAACCCGACCCGAACTGACACCCCTAGTTAGTGAGAAATTCTTAGGTGCACGCGGTGCACCACCTCACCCGTGCACCGCCCCAATCAAATATTGCCACGTGGTTGTTTATTATTTATATTTTTTATTCCTGGCAAAAGAACAGCGACGGATGAAAGGAGAGGCGACTTCGCCTTCGCCACCGCCACCATCGACGTCCAACCCCAATTCTCTCCCTCTCTTAAACCCGCCATTCTTTCTCCTCTCCAAACCTCAATCGGATCCCGACCCACCTCCCATCAACATCTACTCACTCAAAGTTCTACGCCTGCTCCAATACCTGAATGCTCGTCGGAAACATCTACCGCGAGATGAAATCCTTCTTCTTCTCCTTCAAGCCTTCGCCGGAGCTCGAAACCTTCGTAGTCGACGATGACTGGGACGACCTCGACTGAAACGACCTCTTGTTCACCAAATCGGG